TTCCACATGCGCCAGATTTCACTTCAAATGGTTCCTTTGCAAATCCCAAGCTCATTGCTAGGACAGGGCCGGCTTCTGTCATTCCATATCCCTACAATTGTTTAATTGACATTAAATTTTAATGAATTTTTTTAGAAGTTTTTTTGGGTGTTTTAGTTTGGAATTACATACTTTGAAACTACAAAAATAGTGTTGAAAACCTAGTGGTGAATTTGGTTACCCAAGGATCAATTTATTTGGCAGGACAACAAAAATGGACCCTCATAATTTAAAGGTTAGTTTTCTGGCACAAAATATTTCCATTTCCTATGAAACATCATAGTTATTAAGAATTTAAATCTTAATGTTTACTTCAACTCCGTAATTTGTACCCATATTCTAGAGATTTGGATCATACCATTCCAAGCTAAAATTGTACAAGCAGCAAAAAGCTTTATGTCCAGCACTAAAACACAAAGTGGTTTAGTGCACATACCTCTTAAGAAAAAAAGTGTTAGAATATGGAAATCTTAAGATTTGCATTTGGGTGCTAAGCTTAAAAATTCTTTAAGTTCAAAAAGAAAAAGGCCCATAAATTTTTATTTTTAATAATAAAAAAATAATAATTATTATTATTTTAGAAAAAAAATTGAGAAAAATAAAATATTTAAAATATTAATAAAAAATGAAATACCTTAATAAATCGATACCGAAAGCAATATTATATTTAAAAGTTTTTGAATAATTCCACTTCGATTCTTAATATTCGAAGTATATTAACATCCTAATTTTTATTTTTATCTTCTAAAAACAAAAAATTAGCTGCTTACCTGTCCAAGTTTGGCCCCAGGAAACTTGGCTCTCACAGCATCTTCAAGCTCCTTCCCCAACGGTGCAGCGCCGGACTTCACCATCCGCACCGACGACAAGTCATATTTGTCAGTTTCCGTTGACTTAGCTATGGCCAGGACAATCGGCGGCACGATCGGCGCAATCGTCACTTTGTGCCTTTGTATCAACTGCAACAACTTTCCGATCTCGAACTTCTGCATAATTAAAATTGCCACGCCGGCCCGCAACCCGCAGAGTATGATGGAATTGAGGGCGTAGATGTGGAACATCGGCAGAACACAGAGGATGACATCCTCGGAGTGGAAATACAAATTGGGATTCTCGCCGTCGACCTGCTGCGCCACGCTGGTGACCAGACCCTTGTGCGTCAGCATCACCCCTTTGGGCAACCCCATCGTCCCCGACGAGTACAGCAGCGCCACCACGTCGTCCGGGTCGATTTCCACCTGGGGGAGATCATTTTCGTCGGACTGAATCAGCTGGGAGAAATGCAGGCAGCCGTCGGGAGCAGAGTCAATGCACATCAGCTTAACCTCGTTCTCCTCCCCAAATTCCCTGACTTTATCAACGTAACACGCCTGCGTGATAATGATTTTCGCTTTCGACGCCTTGGCTTGCTTTGAAATCTCCGCCGGAGTGAAAAACGGGTTCGCCGCAGTGGCAACGGCACCCCTGAAAGAAGCGCCGAGAAAAGCCAATACGAATTCAGGGGAGTTAGGCAACAAAAGCATGATCACTTCCCCTTGGTTGACACCTAGATTGTTGAGCCCGCAGGCAATCCGGCGAGCAGTGAGCTCCACTTCAGCGTAAGTATACACCTCCCCTGTTCCACCATTGATGAGACATGGGCGGGTGGCAACCTTGGCTATGTTCTCGAAGCAATATGAATGTAAAGGAAGGTGTTTTGGGATGTATATATCCGGGAGCTTTGATCGATAAATGATTTCTTGTTGTTGTTGCAGGGCTTCTGACGCCATTAGATAGCAGTGCAAAGTGGAGATATGCAGGGGGATATGGTGAAATGGTAGGCTCTCTGTTTTGGTATATTGGGGCCTGAGATTTCAATGGGGAAGTAATGATGTTGATATATAGACAGATAAAGGTGGAAAGGATGGATGGTTGGTGAGGCAAAAAATGGGAAATTTGAGGGATTGGTGGGGGGTAAAAATTGAAAACTGGATAATTTAGAAAATGGATGTGTTGTTCCTTTCATACATGGTGGGTAAGAACATGAGGGTACATGTTGGAAGTCTTAAATTTAAACTTGAAAATGAATCTGTTGTTCCTTTCATCATCAAGCTGCATGGATACCAAAAAAGGGTGTGTTTTTGGTTAATGGGGATTGGGGAAGCAGGGGAGGAGGTTGGTGGAGGTCCGTTCTTGGTGAATGGGACACCTTTTTGTTTAGAGAAGATGAGACCCATGTTTAGTCATTGGGAGGTGGGAACAAGATGTTTTGACTAAAAGCATGTTTGGCAAAGCTTAAATAGGAGTACTTTACATGTCTTATAAATTTAAAAGTTTATTAGAAGAAAATAATAAAATTAGTCTTTTAAATAGGTTTTAAATAAAGTTTGAAAAAAATTATACATTTAAATTTTTTTAATAAAATTTTAAATTTACGAAAAATAAATAATAATTTAACCTTTGCCAAACACTCACTCGGTGACAAATGTGGTTTCTAGTTGTTGAGGATGGGTTACTTTCCTTTTCTTACCTACCGCTAATGTCTAGAATTTTGTCATTTTGGAACCATTGTAGCAAGGCATTGCCCTTCACTTCACCTACCCCATGGAAGGCTGAGTGTTCTAAGTAAGCAGATCCAGAGAGCAAGGCCCAACTATTTTGATTTGGTCTTTAAGAATTGTTTATACGAATATGCTATGTATCAGAAAAGAAGGCCTTCGTTTCTTGGACTAATATGTGTGCCCTAATGATTAATGGTTTGGTGGCCCTTTAACTCTTGTTTCAAAAAAAAAAAAAAAGAGTTAAAATTCTTGTTTCAAAGTTCAAACTCAGACAATATCATTCCCTCACTCCATTGTAAAAGTTGCTCTATTTTTTTTTTTTTTAAAAAAAACCCATTGGTTTGTATTTGTTGATTAACAAGTTGAATTTAGAAAGGAGGATGCACTGATATAATAGTTTTGGGATATAATATTATGAAGTAGATAGTGCCTATCAGTCTTATTTCTTAAAGATTAGAAGTAAAATCATCTCAAAATTACGTCGTTTCAATAAATTTTTATTAAAAAATACTAAACGATTTTATTTTTAAAGCATGCATTAAGGTAATTTTTGTCATTTTTTCTCTTAATTTTTTAGAGGTGAGACGGATAAACACTAACCCCTATTATGAATTATGATATACTACTTTTCAATTAGTATCAAAAAAATAAAGTTAAGAATTTATTAAATTTAAATCTTTTATCTTAACCCCATAATCAAAACTTTAAAGTTAATATGTTCCAACTCTACTAATGTTTTAAAGATAAATTTAAATGATATAAGCTATATTTGGTTAAAACCAAAGAGGGCATGCATTTTAGTTAATAAGTTTCAATGCTACTTAGTTTTCAACTCTTTTATTAGGAACCTATTTTTGGGGTATATTTATTGTAGGGAACATATTTTAAAAATATTAATTAAAATATAATATTTTCAAAGATAATCGACTTTATGCAAAATACTTTTCCCAAATTATATAACGACCGCACATTAACCTGTAACACCACACTTGAATGACCAAATAACGCACAAAAGTACAACACTTTCAATACCAAAACCCAGTTTCATTTTACCGCTTAGAAGTGCAACAAATTACGAAGGATACAAAATTAATAGTAGGAGAGAAAAAATAAAAAATAAAAAATAAAATAATAAAAAGTAAAAAAGAGAGGGAGAAACTCAGAAAGGGATATTAAACTTAAGATAATATTTGGGAAGTTCCTAAACTGTACAACTCTTAACACTTTGATCCCTTTCCCTTTCAAAGCTCCACATTCAAGGGCAATTCAACTTTTTCGAGAATCTTCCAATCTCCACATCTGCGTTGTTACCCACCATGCAATTAGTTAGAAAACATCAGTTATCAAGCAATTAATTCAGAAAATTAGCGACTACTCTGTTTGAAGTACTATGAGTTTGCATGGAAGAAGTGCGCAGCCCAGGCTTTTCTCGGTTTCAGCAGGATTTGAGTTGGATATCCTCAGTTCACAAAGTTTCAAAAGTCATTATATTTTCCGCAAAATCAACAATCCCTGTTATGGGCATTGAAGATTCTTGCATTTTCAAGATGGGTTTTACTTTAGATCGCTATATATTCATGGCTCTTGTGGATATGTACAGTCAACGTGGGAAAATTTTCAGTTCCTGGAAAGTGTTCGATGAAATGGGTGAGGAAAACCTAGTTACTTGCAATAATGCTCTTGTTTCTGATTATTTGCACGTTGAGACACAAATTGGACCTATATTTTGTTTATAAGGATTGTTTATGAAGTATGGAAACTGAAAGAGGCAGTAAGGCAACTTTGGCAAAAAGAGCACGACCCTTTGACCCACTCTGCTTCACTAGAAAGGTGCACTGTGATCCAAATAGAGTAAAACCCCTCCGGACGGTAGCTATTGCCCAAGCAAAGATCACAACTTCTCATCCAAGTTCCAGATGAAGCATATAAAATCTCAATCATTATTCTTAAGTGAAAGGTATACACAGATTGACATCTTTGAAAACAGAAGTGAGATTTCGAGAGTTCTTGGTTCTGATATGGCCAATGAATCATCCTATGATGTCCTCCATGGTGTCGGGAACGAACATGAGATCTTACAGCTATTAGATGCAGCTTATGGTGAAGAATTGCAGTTTCAGGAGGGCCTCCAAATGTCTATGATCCCTTCTCAGATGAAAGGAGATGATCCCTTGTCCCCATCGTCATTAATGCCATCCCAACTGACAACTCCAGCCTTGACTGTAAAAGAAGGCGAATTATCTTCAGAGAGTTCAGAAGATAATAGAGTTGTTCAAGATGAAGATGTCGACGGTGATGATGGTGCATTTGCTGATACTGATGAACATGATTCTGCTTCGATTCCAGAAAGCCATGAGACGGGCAAGAATAACAAATTGTTTAAGAACTTCTTCGAGGAGGAGATAAATAAATGCCAGTGGCACTGTCCGGCTTGCCAAGGGGGTCCTGGGGCTGTCAAGAAGTTCCAGAGACTCCAGGACCTGATTACTCATGCCAAAACAGAAGGAGCTAGAAGGGTGAAGCTACACCGGGAGTTTGCAAAACTTTTAGAAGCAGAGGTGAAGAGAAAGCGCCCATTAGTTACTCCTGCAGCTGCGGTCAAAGTAGTTCGTAAATGGAAAGGTTTAAAAGAGGAAAAGGATGATCACCAAATAGTTTGGCCTCCCATGGTTGTCATTAGAAACACAAGCATTCCTACTGATAATAAGGTAAGACAATCATATTTTCTTATTAAATATGAAATGTTGATGAAATGGAATTTTTCATGAACTACTCCACCTGAAAACCTAAACTGTCATGTCACTGTTCAAGAATTGGTTTTATTCGTTGATAGAATCTACATGTGATTTTTATTTTAATTTGAATTGGATTTAGTGGATTGGCATGAGAAATTTAGAGCTCCTTCAGCAGTTCAGCTCATATGAAGCCATTAAGGCTCGTCACTTCTATGGTCCCCAAGGTCACCTTGGTATAAGCCTCTTGATCTTTGAGAAGTCAGCAGCAGGTTATACAGAGGCAGAGCGTCTGCATAAGAGCTTTTCCATGCAAGGAATAGGAAGAGATGCTTGGAATTCTTGTCCAGCTGCAGCAACAATACAAGGTGGAGCGCGTCAGCTTTATGGTTACTTGGC